TTTTACATACATTGGAAAAATGTTGATTTATTTACATTGAATCAACGTCGAAATTTGTATATTGGATCAACATTGGGTTTAGATCGTAAAAACAATCAACTTTTTGCGATGTTTTTACATACATTGGACCAATATAAATTTGCTTGATGTTTTTAGTTCCGTCAGTAATCATTTTATCATTAACCAAATGACATTGGATCAACGTTGGTTTTGCATTGGAAAAAGAGCTGACGTTCGCGATGGTTTTACATAAGTTGGCCCAATGTAAGTGTGCTAGCTGGGATGTTGAAAGTATTAAATATTCATAATTACTAATTACGAATATTTAATACTTTCAACATAAATTCCAGTTATTTGTAAAAACTTATTTTTTAAGTAACCCTTTACTTAAACCCTTTAACTTAAGAACCCTAATTATAAATTAGGGTTCTTAAATTAACTTAAGTTATTCTAAAAGTTATTCATAACTTAATCTGTGTGACACTAATAACGTTATTGCTTTTTACCGTTTTTAATCTTGTTAGTTAAAAACAGTACTGTTTTTTTTTTTTTGTTTTTTTTTGTTTTGTTTTTATTTTTTACCGAAATACCGCTTTTAATCTTATTACTTGACTTATAACTTATAAGATAATTTTAACCCTTATAATATAAGTTTAAAGCTCAACCCTAATTAGTGTAACTCAATATACAATTATGTTTTTCGTTAATTTACCATTTTACAGTAAAATCTTAACCCTAATATTATGCATAAAACATAATTATATAAAACGGTTTTTTTATATGGAAAAGTTTTGAAAAATATGAATACTTGTTTTTTAATTAAAAAACAAGTATTCATTCAGAGTAAAACTCATAATACTTGTTAATAATACTTGTTAATCTTAATAATACTTGTTTTTTAATTAAGTTTTATAACTCATAATATGAGTTTATTACTTTTTATATAACGGCAATAATTTTTATTTTTTTAATTTTAGTTTTTTTTTTTTTTTTTTTTTTTTTTGATATATGGAGGTAAAATGTTTTTGATGGGTTTGCATTCTAAGTTTTTGTATGTATATAAGAGCGTATATATAATGAGTATATGCGTTTATAAGTATGTTTCTCAAAAAGGTATGCGAACAAAGAAAAAATTTAAAGTTTGCTTTCTTTGCCCTTTTTATGAGAAAAACAGTGTTTTGAAAAAGCAATTTTTTATACATAATTTATTTAAATTAAAATATGTGCATAAATTTTAAAAACTTTTTTTTTCCGGATGATTTCTCTAAATATTTAAAAATGTTCACAAAATTTTTTTTGAAAATAAGATTAAACGCGTTGTATTTTGATGATTTTCATTATAAAATTTATAATTTAAAATAGTATTCTAAAAAATCTCTAGTTTTAAACTTTATTATTATTTAAATTTATTTATGGGTAAAGTTTGTATATATTTATATTGTATTCGTACTTATTTTCTGTATAACATTTTTGCAATGCTTTTTACCATTTTTGTAGCAGAAAGTAAGAGGAATTTTATAAACTTTAAATAATTAACTCTACCTTTTTCACTATGTATTGATTTTGATTTCAATTTGATAACTTAATATAAAAAAACATTAATTTTTTTATTTATATGTAGATAAAGTTTTTTGCTTCAGAAAACTAATAAACGCAAATTTTATTCATTTATAAAATAGATTAAATTAATTTGCAATTTAAGTAACACTTTAATTATTCTTACGTTTAGTTTACGTTTTATATATATATATATATATATATATATATATATATATATATATATATATATATATATATATATATATATATATATATATATATATATATATATATATATATATATATATATATATATATATATATATATATATATATATATATATATATATATATATATATATATATATATGAAAATTAATTAAAGTTTTAGATTTCGTTGAGTCATTAAAAAATTTTTTTTGATTTGAAAATAAACAGTTACGCGTTTATATTTTATTGCGTTTGTACGTAAAATTTAATTATCGGTACGTGAATTCTAAATAGAAAAAATGATCGTTTACAAAGAGTAAAATATTTCAAAGTTGTTTTCGTATATATTGAATCTTTTCGAATATTTATTTTGTAATATCATGTTTTTATGTATAATGTTGTTTATAATCTCTTTAAGGTTATGAAAAACAAATATTTAGATACAAATGATTTAGTTTTTATATGAAATTCAAATAAAAATACGAAAAAATAAAAAAATAATGCTATAAAAAAGATTGAATTCGTAAGTTATATTAAGTTGTGTATACTACTACTAATGCTTACTAACATGCACATCTAATAAATAGACAAATAGCGTATTAATATGCACCACTAATAAATATACAATAAAAAATGTTATACCTTTACCAAATATAAAAAATTACCAAGTATAACAATCATATTGTTGTTGTTCTTGTCTTGTTTAAGATAGCAATTTAATGCTAATGTTCACTTATTATTATTATTTGAAAATTACACCTATTTATTCACTAGTTATGACACTATAGCCTTAATAAGTCTATGCTTAATCTGTCTAATTATTTTTGATAAATTTTATCACACTTGATTTGAAACTTTTATTTCTTATAATTTTTGTTTCTTCAGTTATTGAATTATATAGCTTGAGTCCATTGCAAAAAATTGATTTCTGTCCACTATTATTGTTTTTCACTTCTATATGAAAGTTATTTGCATTTCTGGTATTGCATTTATGTAAGTCACTGCTCTTTCTGAACATAATCACATATGTTTTATTATTGTGATTAGTTACTGACTAATAACCATCAAACTTTTAATTTTAGAATAATTCTTATAGCTTTATTCAGCAACTTCTGAAGTACTTTAATATCACTTGGATTTGCATTTAGAAAGATTGAGGCACAATATTCATAATGAGGAGCCACTATTGTATTATAAATTACTTTTTTAGTCCACTGGGTTAGATTTCTACTTATTCTTGATAAGTAACCCAATTTTTTAGATATTTTCTCAGCAGTATACTTGATATATTCAGTAAATTTTAAATTTTCATCAAATTGAATGCCTTAATACTTGACACATTCAGAGAACTTAATTTTCTTGTTATCCAAGATAACTGAATCATGTGACTTATTCAGTAATATATTTCTTTTTTTAATCACCAAGCTTGTTACTAACATTACCATTGATTTCTTTGTGTTTAGTTTTAGTTTATTGTTATTTAACCATAATGCTTTAAGATCTTCATTTCAGCTTTAAGATCTTCATTTAGTTTCACAATTACATCATTGAAGTTAGCACTTTCTATATAGATGTACTATCCAAAAATAAGTTAATGTTTACATATTTGATTACATTGATTATATCATTCATGTATATAATGAAGAGTAAGGGGCTTAAAACAGACCCCTGACACAATATAAGATTCTTCATCATCACTCTTTACCACTTGAGTTCTCTCAGACAAATAGTTTTTAATCCATTCAAGAACTTTACCTCCAACTTTGTAGCAACTTAATTTCTTTATTAGAAGATCCATATTAATAGTTTTGAGAGTACGTTTTAAGTCCAGGATTACTGTAAATAAAATTTTATTTTTGTTTAATGTCTATCTCCAGATTGAGAGAATTTCTTGTAAAGCATCTTCAGTTGATCTTTTTTTCCCAAAACCAAAGGATTTTTCAGGGATTTAGGGATTTGTATTATTGTGAAATTTTCCCATGATTTTGGTACATTACCAGTCTTCAATGACAAAATTACTTCTAATAACTTCTCTGCTACACTAGTATAAATATTATTAAATATTCTCATATTTTCACACATTGAACACTCATATTTTGATACACTCATATTTTCACACATTGAACTTTTCATCTTCATATTTTTAACTATATTGTCATGATCATTTCTGTTCATTAGTTTGAAATCATTGAGAGCATTTATATTAACATTTATATAAATATTTTGTTTGGCATAATTTAACTCAAATTTAATAGACTTATCAATATCTTGAATACTTTTGAATAAAAATTTATTATATTTATTACTTGCAGTGTCTTTTCTTTTTTTCAAATATAATATCTTCCAATACATTCTTTTTATTTTTTTGAGATAAGTCAGTAAGATTATAGGATTTTCGACATGTTTCAATTTTTTCTTTAAAAAACTTTGACTTTAAGCATCTTAATAAATAAGTCTTATAGTTTCTTCTTTTCTAGTTTTTTCCTCCTCTTTTAGATTTTGAATTTGTAATGTTGTATTAATGGCAATAAGTTCCTTGATTTCTGTTTAAATTTTTATTTTTATTTAGAATACTTAAGATTATTTTTTTTGATAAATATTATTTTCCATAATACTTTCAATAAGATTGGCACAATCATTACAATACCAGTTTAACTTTTTTATTAGAAATAATTTTGAATTCATCATCAGAAACTCCACTGCATTCCTTACAGAACCACTTGTTACATTTTTTGTTATCACAACAAATACAATCCCCTTCTTTATCCTTAATGATATTTTCACATAGTTCACATGTGCATTTTTTCTCATCTTCCCACTAGTTCCTTATTTATTATTAGTCATATTTATTAATGTTCAATTGATTGTATATTGATATCTGTTATTTCTTTCAAGAATTGTTTAATGTTCCTAGAAATAAATGCGCTTTAATAAGGAAATTCAATTAGTTGTTTGTTATTAAATAAATATTCTCCATTTTTATTGGAAAGCTGAAATTTTTAAGATAAAAGCTTTAAATTTTACAAACATATAGCTAAATGGTTGGTGGAGTGGAGTTTGTTGTGTTCTAAATAATACTTGTACATGTGTGATTTTCTGTTATTTTCTTTGGATTTTCGCTTCCGATGTTGTTTACGCCAAATAGTGTACTTATTACAAAAATTTAGTTTTTTTTATCCGAAGATTTATAAAATTATTTCATTATTTTGTTTCTTCCATTATCTGAAAAATAATGATTGCATTTATGGATCTATTATAGTTTACATTGGAAATCCAGAAGCCATCTCAATTCCTGGCGAAAAAAAAGTATAAAAACTTGGAATTACATCTTCATACTATATCATCATTATCTTCATATATCACATCTTCATACTATAATATTATGAAAAGGTAGTAACTATTAGAATTAAACATATATTATTATTAGACTTACTGAAATAACGCAAATTTTCTGTTTGTCTAACTTGATGGAATCATATTTTTTTTATCACTCTAGTAATTTTAATTAAGATTTTATTTATTTGCAGCAATACTGCTTATTGCCACTTACTAATTGTATTTAGAAATGGTCAAGTGGGTTAAGCAGCTTCTTGTGTTGTTTTTAATAAATTTTTCACTAAAATATTTTGTTTTGAAATCAGGATTTAAGTTTGGAATGGGCAAATAAGTACAATAATTTCACTACGGATAATTAGAAAAAAGGGTAATTATAAAAACATTACCTTCTATTATGTTTTTTGTATTTATTTATTTTCAGGTTTGCTTTTTGAATGAATTGGATTCCAAAAATGATATTTAATTGAGTTTAAGAATGGTTTTGTTAGGAGAAATTTCCCAGGTACTGGGTGGCTTTAAATAGGCACAAGGTGTCAAGACATTTTGTGCTAATGATAATGTGTTCTGACTTATGTTTTTGTCCACAATTTTTGAAACAAAAAAAAAATTGACGTTTTGGATTGGCCTTTAATCTCAGTTAGGAACTATGTTTTATGACAACTATGTGTTATGACTTTAATCTCAGTTAGGACTATGTGTTATGACTATGTATATATGACAGTAACAAGCTCAAAATAACACTTAAAAACTGAATTTTAATAAATGCCAGAATGTATTCAAGCCTAATTGCAGCAAAACAGAATCATATTAAGTATTAAATCTATGCTTTATGTTCTATTTGTGTTGTTGCTTTGTACACGAAAAAAAGTTGTAAAACATAAAAATTTTGAAAAAGCATCACAAAAGTTAATATAACGGAGAAATCTTTTTTTGTTATAAAATCTATTATAATATAACAACTCATTGTATGTTTATCATAGGAAATATTTTATACGCTATGTTATTATTATGTAATATTATTATGTAATATAAAAACAAAATAAAGTTTATATTAAATTTTAAAAGGTATTTTATCCTTGTTAAATGTATTTCTTAAAAACACAATAATTTTTTTTAACTTGACTATCTTATGTTCAAATGTAAAAATATGTTTAAGTTTTAAATTTTTGTTGTAGCAAAAATTTTGCAGCAAAATAGTTTTTGGTAACTTGTTAAATATTTTTTTGATACAACAAGAATTAATGTTTCATGATAAAATAATATAAGTATATAAGAGATGATTTGATAATAGAGTATAAGAGATGATGTAAGTATATCAGTAATTTTTTCTCTATAGTTAAACATTCCCTTATGAATGAATCTAAAAAAAACACTCTCTAGATAATTAAGTTTATATTTGGCATTGTTCAAATCTATAAAAAAAATTTTTTTACAAGAAAATAAATTCAAGATGAAAGCCATGCTTATGTATATATGTTATAGTTTTATGCGTGTGGAATATATTAATAGTTTCTTTAATAAATTTCATAAATTTAAATTATTTAATCTTGCTCATTATAGCTTTTTTAAATTAAGTTCAATGTTCATTTAATGACTCCACTTGTGTGGTTTGGATGGGTTTCCATAATGCCCTTTTTTTTACTCAACCAAAATTAAAATATTCTAATTAATTCTATTTTAATTGATTTTTAGTAGAATTAATATTTTAGAAAAAAATTAATAGAGAACACTTTGTTATCATTATTATTATTATGATGATGATAATGATGATGATGATGATGATGATGATGATGATGATGATGATGATGATGATGATGATGATGATTAGCCTGTTTACAGCTATTTTAAATCATTGTAAAAAATAATACATAACACTTCATATTATTTTTACAAACATCCTTTTTATTTTAAAAGCTTTACAACTTGGTTCTTGAATTCTTTCCTGTCAAGTGATTTAAGTTCATTTTGCAATTTGTTGTACAATTATCCCATTGCAAAACATAGACTTTTGTCTGCTTTTTTTGTTCTGGATTTTTAAGTGATAATTATTTGCATTTCTTGTAAAATAATTGTGTATTTCATTGTTTTTTATACAAAATCCTTGAAAGAGGTTCATTTTCTATAGATGAATAGTATTGTGTAAAAAAGAAAATACTTTCATTTGAATATTTTCTTTTACAGAAAGCCAGCTAAGTCTAGACAACATATCATTACTATGTGTAAACAAGTCACATTTTAAAATTGTTCTCATAGCTTTGTAACTTTTGAGCATTAGAATATTATTTTCAATTTTAATACCCAGGTATTTTACACATTCACTGAATTTAACTACTTAATTTTCAAGTTTGACACATCTGTTTAAATATTTTTTAGTAATACTTAAATATATTACTTTGGAACTTGTAATCAACATACTCATTGACTTTCTAGTTTACTTTAGTTTTAACTTATGCTGTAATATAGTTACAATAAAAATACTTATAACTTTGAACCACGTTGATTAACTTGCAAAACATATTCACAGATTACTATGTGTTAGTTTAAAAAGCGTGGTGATGCAGTTTTATGTAAAGGGAGCAGATTCAGAGTGCATATATATCATTTTGATTTTAATAACAACCAGGCATTAAAAATCCTGTAAAAACATGTCACAATCCTTCTTCAATCTTATAATAACTAAAAAGCCTGTCAAAACATGTCACAGCTCTTGTTCAATCCTATAATATCTAAAAAGCCTGTAAAAACGTGTCACAGCCCTTGTTCAATCTTACAATATCTAAAAAGTCTGTTTAATCATGTCACAGCATATTATCTAAAATTAAAGGATGAGTTTTCACTGATTTCTGTTTCTAAAATTTTTTTCCTAAAAGCTCTCTTGCTTTATGATTTGAACACATAAAAATTGGAGAAATTTTTAGTATAATTAATTTAAATAGTGGTAGTAAAAGCAATTCTAAAAATCTTGATATCTAATTTCATTAATTTATTAAATTTGTTTATTTTTTTATATTCTTTCACATTGTTTATACAATAATTGATATATTAATTACTTTAATTATTTAATTGTAAATAATTGATGTATTAATTATAAAGTTATAATAAATAACTTTTATATTATTTAATAATTACATAATTATTAATAATTACCTAATTAGTTAATAATAATTACATTTAATTATTATAAATAATTTAATTAAAATGTTTTTTATTTACTTGACTAAATTGATGGTTATTTTTAAATTACTTAAAATTTGGATTTTTTTTGTTTACATTTATTTAAACACCAATGAGCTTAACTGATGAACTTAAACTATCTTTTTAGAAAAGTGACATCATGTTTTAATGATGCCATTAGTTTGTCTTTATTACACCTGTCAATTTATCTTCATTACATCGCATATGCCAGCCTTTTTTTGGTTTTAATTAAAATTAATGCTTTGCAATGTTTACCTACAATAACCTGCGGAAAAATCGATTTGGAATTTTTGTATTTTTAATTTTATTTGTGATGTGTATTATTTTTATATGGCAAAAACAAAATGAAAATGAAGCTATTCTTCGGCGATATGAGCTGGCAAAAAATACAGTTCCACCTTTATTATATGAAAATATTAAAAAATTGAAAGATAATCTTTTAAAACTAGAGTTTGAAAATAGTATTCGGATGCAGGAAATGTTAGATCTAAGGCGCAAGTTAAAAGAAAAATTTAACGAAAGTTCTACTGACATTTTACTGTCTTTACCAAATATTTACAGCAGACTCCCACACCTACTTGGACATAGTGATGCACTTGCCCCATATATACATTTAACAAAAAATAGAAAAGCCAGTTTGGTATTTGGTGTACCAACTGTTTACAGAGAACATTCTTACCTAAATCAAATGTTAACTTCTATGATTACTGGCTTAAATGATAAAGAAAAAGAAGATGTTTTAATTGTTGTATTTGTTGGAGAGAGAAATGAAAAGTATATAAATGAAGTAGTAAAAGGTAAAAGGTTTTTTAATATTATTTACTTTTTTATTATAGATTTTAGTTCTTTAATTTTTTTACTATTATATATTATTGCGTATTTTTATCAACTGTTGTTTAGTGTTTTATTTAGTAAAAGAAAACTAAATGTAACTTACAAAATGTCTCTAGGGTACTTGTAGGGTATATCAAGATAATTTTCAAATGAATTGCAAAAAATTTTAAGAAATAATACTTACAATTAGTTTCTTAAAAATTTCATACTTTTAAAGTAATCAGACTTTTTTATCCCACTTTTATTTCCACCTTATTTTCATGCAATTTGTTGAAGCAATCACTAAAATAATTACTAAAATCTGCTCAAGTGTCCATGAATATGGTGACATTTTGAAAAGGGATAGTGAAACCTTATTACATAGATAAATTGTGGGAAAATTGAGTAATCAGGCAGGTTTCAAAGAAATCTATTATACCAAAAAAAAAAAAAATTTAAACTGTAAATTAATGTGCCTTAAGATTTTTTAATTGCTTAATTAGCAAGTTTTAAATAGTTAAAGCATGTATTCATTGATGGGTTATTTACATGTTGGGTTGTGTACCTCTATACATCAAAATTAAAATGTTTGATAGTTCATGTGTTACTACATATGGCTGTGTGACTAAAGTTAACTATTTATAATCTATTACAGCATAATTTTTGAAAAAAAATGTCACTTGATCGGTTTCTGAAATAAACAATTAAAATGATTTGTTATATCTAATATTCACATAAGAGCTCCAAGTGCACTAATATCTTTTAACTTTTAATTTTAACAAGATCACTCTTAACAATTATGCAAGCAACCACTGAGTTAGGAGTTGACTCCTCCCGAGTTACCACTAGGTTGGGAGTTTACTCCTCCCAAGCAACCACTATGTTACAGGCCTTCTCGTAAGAGGAGTGCGATTGGACGCTTTATATGACCATGCATATAGTTCTTTGTTTTAACAACTTGACCACGGCTCTTTGCAATTTTCGATAATTAGCGAGTTTAAAAAATGCGCTTAAAGAAAACAAAGCAAATGTAAATGCAATTTTTAATTTAATTGATTCCATAATTACAATTAAACTGCCACAAAATTTCCTGAGTACTTTAATGCAACATAATAAAAGCAATCGTTGAAAAAAATATTCAGACTAGAGCTTAAGGCTAAACGAATACAGAAGCTATCAAAAAATAATTACAAACCTTTTTATCATGGAACTATAAATTCTAATAAAGATCAGACGTTTTTTTTTACACATTTGCAAAGCGCGCGCAAATTAATGATAAACGCACAATAAAAAAAACTTTTAAAAGTGTTTTTAATATGAACACAAACATTATTTCAGTTTATGGAAAATAAGAAAATTAAAAAAAAAAAGCATGCACAATTTTATTTGTAATAAAATCATTTGCTTTAAACTTTTAATGTAATTGCTAAAAGCAGAAAAGAAACCAAGCTTAAACATTACAATCGCTTTCTTCAATAAAAGAAAGCAATCAAATTGTTTAAGGACGGTTTCTTTTGAAGTTTTTGCAAAAGCATCTATTTTAAATAAAATTATCATATTTTTGTGAGCGCATGCAAAAATCATCCTAAAACATAATTACTTTTTTTATTTTACTTAAAAGTGACTTAATTGAAAAAAGTAATTATGTTTTGGCATTTTTTTTAAAAAAGTCTCTGCAATAAATTTTTTTTCATTTTAAATGTGTTTTTTGTAATAAATAAAAAACTATTGATCGCAAAATTATTTTCAAAAAATTGCTGAAGTAACGCGTTTGTTTTGAAAAATCTTAATCAAACAGCAACGTTTGCATAAGCAAAATTAAAGAAACGTGATGTTTGTTTTTCTGTCTGTCTTAAAGAAATGTGCATACATTTGTTGATTTGTTGCACCCTGTATCCTATTAACTTTTTAATGAAATTTTAAATTTGCACCACAAAATTTTATTAAATTTCATTACCCTTTCCCTCACTATGGATCCGCCCTTGTATTAGCCTATTTATTCATGGGAAGGAATGATAAAGATTATTAGAGCTGTGATTTTTTCACTTTTTCTTCCAATTAAGTTTAAATTAATTAACACGTGTTTTGATTTTTTTTCTGGTTTTTCCTTTATTTTATCATTCTTTAAATATTTTACTTTTTTAGGTAAATTTTTGTTATATATATTATTTTAAGAATTTTATTCTCTTTTCAGTTTATGGATTGTTTATTTTAATTTGCTTTGTTTTTTTTTAGCGCAATTTTTAAATGCGCTAATTATCAAAATTTGCAATGAGCCGTGGTCAAGTTGTTAAAACAAAGAACTATATGCATGGTCATATAAGGGGTGCGATTGCACGCCTCTTACGAGAAGGCCTGATGTTGAGAGTTAACTCCTCCCAAGCAACCACTACATTGGGAGTTGATTCCTCCCAAGTAACCACTAAGTTGGAAGTGGACTCCTTCCAAGCAACCACTATGCTGGGAGTTAACTCCTACCAAGTAACTATTATGTTGGGAGTTGACTCCTCCCAGGTAACCACAAAGTTGGGAGTCAACTCCTTCAAGCAACCACTACAGAGAAACAACAAGACTTATTAGATTTTTTGAATGGCGAGTTATACAAGATTTTGTTTTAGTTAACGAAATAAGTGGTATACAAGTTTGCTTAAAAAGCAATCATTTTTTGCATTTTTTGCATTGTTAAAAGCAGGGATGCAGAGTTCTAAAAAGAACTCCAGGTTCAAAAGTCACAAAAAGATTATTTTTGTGACAAGTTTTTGGTGTGGAGCTTATAAAATGTAAAGAAGCTTATGGACTATTTTTCGGATAAAAATTAAGACTTTTGGGTTAGAGGAACAATCAATTTTTGAACCTGGAGTCCTTAGGTATAGTGGTGGTAAGGACTGCAAGGCTCCAGGCTTGGATTTTATGAATTTTTTATCGCAGATCATAAGTCACTTTTAATGCTCCTAGACAACACAGGCCAGAAAAAAACAGAAATATAAAGCCGCATTCCTTTTGAGACTGCATCCCTGGTTAAAGATTTTGTATTAAATTTTTTTTTCTAACCTGATGTTGACCAAAAGCAGTTTAAAAGCAGCAATGTGTTGCTGACTTTATTTTTTCTAATTCTGAAGGCTGAAGTTGTAATAAATTATTGTAGAAAACCTTTTTACTGCTGAAATTTTTTACTTAAAAACTAACTAACCTGATTAAAACAGATGAAAAAAATAATTATGATTAGAAATGTTTATGATTTAAAAAAATGTTCATGGTTAAAAAACTAGAAATGAGGCTTGACTTAAAATGGACAAGAAGGAATAAAAGCTTTTATGTCTGCCTAAATCCAGAAGGTTACATAGGAGATGCAATTTTTGGTGGAGACAAAAAATATTAGCCCTTTGACAATGACTCCAAAAAGACGAAGAAAATCCATAAGATAAAATACAAAGAAATTGAACATAAGCTAGGTTTAGAGACAAGATACAAATCAAGGAGTGGAGGTAAGTGATTTGAGTTGTCTGAAGATGCAAATTTTTTATTCATTTAATATTTAGTTTTTTTATATGATATTAGTTTTTTTATCTGATATTAGTTTTTTTTTATCTGATATTAAGAAATAAAAAAAAATAGTCTTTAAAACAAGGAATGATAAAGTACTAAAAAAAATGTTATTTTTATAAATAATCTTTTTAGGTACTTTTTTTATGTTTTTAATAATTAGAGAATTATAATATTAATATAAGTTTTAAAGACGATGTCTGATAATGTCTGGTACCTATTTCAAACTCTGTAATTGGATAACTATTTATATTAAATTGTAACTAATTTGTTATTATAATAATACATAGTTATATATAATCAGACATTACACTTAATCATAGATAGTGCATGACACCCTAAGTAAAAAGTGGTTGCTTGATTTCTGCTAATCAATCTAAAGAAATCTAATCAATCTACTTACAGAAATACTTTAATGGAAAACATAGCATTGTTATTTTTATATTTTACAGCTTGTAATGAAATCAACTTCTTCAAGAACTGCTACAATATAACACAGATTTACAGAAAATAATGCAACACAGGTTGACATCTACACCACCCTGCTAGATAAAGGGGTGTGGCTAAATGAGGTCTTTTACAAAACAGTAACAGACAGATGCACTTAACATACGCCTAGGATAAGTAATTTTACAAAGATACCATCACTAACCTTAAACAACCTAGAGCCCTAAGTACTTCCTACTTTAAGTCAGAGTTAAAGTCAGACTTCTCCTTTAATTGAATTAATCTTTATTTGATTAAATTAAAATTTAAAACAACAAAAATTTCAATTGGTTTATAGTGAATTTATATTATTAAATTTTTATTTATCATTTTTATAATTTATTTACATATTTATATATTTACATTTTAGTTGCTTATATTTAAGTAGTGCAGTGTTTAATATAAGGTAACTTAAAAAGATTAAATAAATAAACAAAGAAACAAAACAAGATAATAATGATAGTTTGGTCTATGGTAGTAACCTCAAAGTTAAACCGGTTTTAGTAAGTTTAAGCTCTCAGTTGATTCTAGTACATTTTTATTACACAGAGGCTGCTCTGTATGCTGAAATTATCTAAAAATAACAAAATTATTTACAGCTCAAATATAAATTGCTTTCCGATCCCATTTTTAAGTTTAGAGTGGTTGTAACCACACAGGTGGTCATTTTTTTAGGCAATCAAAGGTGGTCAAAGGATGCCCAGATGATTTTTCAATCAGAAAATATATTTTATATCTAAATATAAGTAATTATTTTTGGAAATTGGAGATTGAATATGTATTCAATCTCTAAGAGTGGTCATAGCTGCACAGTTGATCATTTTGGAGGTGGTCTTGGTTTCTCAAGACGAATTGTCAAGAATTCTTTATTTTTATGTAGTTTAAGAATTTAATTTTAAAAAATTTAATTATATAAATCAGAATCTAGGAAAGGCATAAACTAGTCGATTACAGCTCATTGGCCTTCTCAGATAGATTAGAGTCTTTGTTCTTTCCATGACTTCTCCTAATTCCGGACACCTTAGGGTCAGTGCCGCATAGCACCAAACAACAAACCAGACAAATTATGACCTCATCATGAGGAGAAATTCTTGGTGTGGTGCTCTATGTTATGCTTGAATACCTCATTGAGGACTCATGTGGCTACTATAAAACAGACTCAACTGTAATGACCTTTTTACTTACAACCTTATGACTGGGTGCTAATATTTTGTTTACATCCTGTAAGGTTGTATCTCATATGCCCTTATGTATTATAAGGGCATATGAGGTTATTTGTACAGGTTGATAAGCAGTTTCTAGGTTATACTGATGCCACTTGTTAGGTTCCACCTCCTTATTGTTGGAAAGGATATAGAGAATAATGTAAAACCTCTTCATTAGCTTTTCATTTACACCTATAATCTCTGCTGGCTATTGTTATCCCCTAAAAAACCTGGCATTTTTGCCATCATTATAGTTTCCAGATTAAGGGCATGCTGGCCCCAGATGCTATGCGAACATCTGGCATTAGCCTTAACCCATTTATCCCAGAAAGGTTTTTAGGAAAAAAACATTATTTCATTATATTCTGAAAATAGTTAACTAATAATGTTTTGTTTCTTTTTTTTATAATTGCATAAATTAAGTACTTTAGTTAACTCACTATCACATTTAAAGTGTTAGATATTAATTGCAAGTATATTAGTATTTATAAAGCAAAATAAAATGCAACCATTTTCTATTATTGACCTCCAAACAATGTAGATTTATGAAAAAAATATTTATTATTACATCACATAAATTTGCTCACTTAGAACCCTAGATTGCTTGCTTTTAAAGCAAATGCTTTAACCTTTATGCCACAGCTGCTAACCACTGCACCACACATCATGTTTGCAAAAAAAAATTAACTTTTTTTGTTTTAATAATGAATTAATATTAAAGGGATCTCAAGCCTCCAAGCTATGTTGTGTTCATATTAAAGAGAATGTTAAAAAAAAAAGTTTGGGCTAATTTTTTTTGATAAAACAAAAGAATAAATGCATACCAAGAAAAACTAACTTTTTTGTTTAGTGGAAGCTCACCTTCTCCGTCTTGTTGAGGACAAATAGTCTTCATAATATATGCTGCAATCTACAGACTTGATAATTTATTCAAGCGTGTTTTATCCGTACGAGGTTTAGTACATGATGTCATTGATTTTTTTATTTGTTTAAAAGATCACAAAGTTTAGCCTAAACATTTTATTTTTTTTATCATTCTCTTTTATTATATGAACAAAACATGTCTAGGAAGTTTGGGGTCCCTTTAAAGAAGTTTGGGGTCCCTTTAAAACATGTCTAAGAAGTTTGAGGTCCCTTTAAAAATCAAATAATACTAAATTTGGTCTTACATATCAATTATAATTATTAGAAAAATTATATAATTATTAAAACAAAATTGTGCTATTTTAATAGATAAAGATATAGTTCCTCAAAACAAAAGCAATTTCTGTTGGACTAATAAAATCTTTTTATAGGTAAAAATAGTGCAATAAAAATTATTCATAGATTTTTTCTAAACTTTATAAAATTATTCATTAATTTTTTGTACATTGTATTAAAATTTACAATTCTATTATTGTTCCATTTTTTTAGTAATAAAGTTGTTTCTGATAGAAGTTCTTGTATTTAAATTAATTGCTAATTAACTAATCATTATATACTTAGTTACATTCATGCTGTTATGAAGCATAGCATTTATATATTTATGGGCCAAATCAAGTATAGGAAGTAAAATCTGCATAAATGAACCTTTTTTAGAAAAATTTTGCATGGGCTTTTAGGAACCAGCACACCGCTTTTTGCTGTTTGTTTGTTTATAAATAATATTATTAATATTATTTAATTATTAATAAGGTGATTAATGAGATAAAAGTCATTTTAAATGCCTCTTCTTCAGTTTTTTTAAACTAAAATGTTTTATAATAAAACCATTTATATTATAAATATTATTTATAATAAAAAGCTTAGCACCTACTGCCCTCAGCTAAGCTCAGAAAGTTTGGTTTTAGAGTTTTATAAATATATAAGACTATTTAAAGTTGATCAAATGTGCGGCTTAGTGTTTTTTTCTTGTGTAGAGTCATTTACTCTCGGGTGCTTAATACAAGGATGGGTGCAAATAAAAGAGAGAGGGTGGATTTTAGTCCAGATCTAATAAACGGGGGAAGGGGGAGGATATAGAGCTAGAATAAACAATTTATTTCTAGTGTGACTTGTGGTCAAATTTGAATTTTTTTACAGCTGTTTCAATAGATTTTAATATGCTTACATAAGTTTTATACTTGACGATTTGTAAAGCCTGATTACACTGAAAGTTTTTATTCTTATCAGTAACTGATAAGAATAAAAACTTTCACTGATTTTTTTTTAATTTTTTTTTTCAAGTTTTTTTTGTTAATAACAAGTAAAAGTTAATAAGGGGGTCTTAATAAGCATGAGGTGGGTTGGTAAAGTTTCAGAAAATCAATAAGCGTACTCATCCGTGTATTAAAGGGACTACCAAGTCCCGAGACAAGTTGTGTTCAAATAAAAGAGAATGTTAAAAAAAAACGTCTGAGCAAATTTTTTTTGATTAAAACTAATTAATAAATGTATACCAAGAAAAACAAATCTTGTTGTTTTCTCTGGTATTTTGAGTATGTAAAATAAACGCGATTTTCCAGGCGCATTATACAGACTTGATAATTTATTCAAGCGGGAGTTTTAGAGCATAGGAGTTTTAGAGCATGACGTCATTGGAAAATTTTACTTTTAAATTTTACTCAAATAGCTAACTATAGTTACTTATTTTATTAAAAGTTTATTTTATTAATTGTTCGTTAGTTTTTTACAAATCTAACGAACAATTAATTAAACCAAGCACTAAAAAAAGATATAAAAATTAAGAATATACTAATAAAATATATAATTTGTAATTAACTTTCAAAATTTTGACAATTTAAAAAATATATATTATAAAACATTTATTTTTGTAAACAAATAATAATAGTTAAAAAGTTTTACGGCTTTACAGATGTGGCTCCGAGAATGAGCCATAATATTAAAGAAATGTTCATTTGATAATATATTCTTAAAAAAATTTATGCTAGATATCTCAAAACTCAACAAATCGTAAATAATACAGTTCCTAAAACATTACAACAGAATACTCTAGAACTTTATTTCGCTTAGTCAGCGTGTTTTTTGAACCAATAGAATTAGTTTGTTCGCAAATTTTGCGGGTTTTTAGTGTTCGCGAATATTCTTTTTATTCTTCCGCAAGATGTTTTAAGAAATTATGTTTCCATGTATGTCTGTAAAATAAGAAATAATATATATTATTTTTTTAATTTTTAGGCCCCCGCTATAATATATATCGGATGTTATAATGGAAATATAAATAATGAAATAAGATCACCTCAATACCAAAAAAATACATTTCTGAAAATCAGAGAAAAATGCGTTAATAATTTTTTTTTAATATTTACAAAGTAAATTAATAAAAGTGCATTATTATTTAGGTTAAAAATTATTTTATCTAATATTTTGAAATAAAAACTTATAACAAAAGAAATCAAAATACACGTGGTGTAGACGATTATTTAAAAAAAGTTGGGCAAATAAAATACTATTTTGTTTTTTATTTCATTTTTGTTTTTAACTTTATTTTGTTTTTAAATTTGTTTTACAAACACATTTTAGAACTTTAAAATATAATAAAAATGAATATGATTTGGAAATTGTATGTAAAAAATAACAATCGGTGTTTTAAACAAACAAACAAAAAAAACTATGACGTCATGCACTAAAACTCCTATGAATTAAACGCGCTTGAATAAATTATCATGCGCCTGGAAAATCGCTTTTATTTTACATACTCAAAATACCAGAGAAAACGGAGAAAACGAGCTTCGACTAAAACAAAAAGATTTGTTTTTCTTGGTATACATTTATTAATTAGTTTTAATCAAAAAAAATTTGCTCAGACGTTTTTTTTTTTAACATTCTCTTTAATATGAACACAACATGTCTCGGAATTGGTAGTCCCTTTAAAGTACCTAAGAGTATTTAAAAAAAGTACCTTAGAGTATTTAAAAAATATTTAATTGAAAAACACTTTAAATAAATGCAAGTATAAAAATTTTTCATGTTTATTTTAGTTTCAATATATGATGTCTTTCTGGTCTTCATTTTACTTTATTATAAAGTTTTTTCATTTTGACCAACATTTGAAAAAAAAATATTGACATTTACATGGTAAAACTGATATACTGAGCTTAAAAATCTACGTAGGAAAAAAATTAATTTGTTTTAGAGTGCTGAGGATCTTTAGATAAATTAAAAAAAAAAAAATTCCCCTGTATAGAAGTAGGTTTTTTTTTTTTTTTTGGGGTGGGGAGTTTGCTCATCCTTCCATGGATTGTCTTAAATTAATATGAATGATTGTAAGTTGTTTTTTTAATTCTTTTTTTTTTAGATATTAAAGATAAGTTTAAAAGTTCTTTAGAGAGTGGTCTTTTGGAAGTGATAGTACCATCACCCAACTATTATCCCCCATTGGATGACCTTCCCTCTACATTCAATGATCCTCCAGAACGAGTGAAGTGGAGAGCAAAACAAAATCTTGACTATGCATTCTTGATGATGTATGCTCAACCTCGTGCTGTGTTTTATGTACAGTTGGAAGATGATATTATTGCTACTCCGGGTTATGCAACTACTATCAAAGCATTTGCAATGCAACAGGCAACAAATAACTGGTTCATGCTTGAATTTTCGTCACTTGGTTTTATAGGAAAAACGTTTCATTCATATCATTTAAGCATTTTAGTCGAATTTTTTCTTATATTTTATAAAGACAAACCAAATGACTGGCTTCTGGATCACATTTTTTGGGTTAAGGTGTGCAACCCAGAAGGAGACGATAAACAGTGTCAGAAGGATAAAGCACTTTTGCGTGTTCGGTTTAAACCTTCTTTATTCCAGCATATTGGAAAATTATCTTCTCTGAAAGGAAAAAAACAAAATTTAGTTGATAAGGAATTCAAAACGGCGATGCTGTTTCAAGCACATTTAAATCCTAAAGCAGTAATAAAAACAAACTTTGAAGAATATCAAACGTTTACAGCAGTTCGTGGTTATTTAGGCCATTCTTATTTATGGGCCCTTACTCCAAAAAAAGATCAAGTTCTTCGAATTTTGTTTTCGGAGCCCCAGAAGGTTATAAGTTATTTATTTAGGACAGGAAATCCTGAGCATCCCACGGATATACTTACAAATGCAACTGTTGAGGCATTAACATTAGATAATAAACATTATCGAGAGAAAAATAATGGAGCATCAGATTCTGGCGATATAAGTAGTCCATTTATAAACAGTGATTATATCGTTTTGGGACTTTTTAACGAAAATGGGTTAGCTTCCGGAAAAGTAGGTAGTAATATTGGTTTGATTGCTGAAATAAGAATCCGAGTACTTGAGAGCATGGTCGAGAACTGGGTAGCATTTTATGAAATTTTCATTGAAACTGGTTCTTAGAATAATTTAACTTAAATACATAGTGACAGAATTAGTGGATATTTTTTTGCAGAACGAGCTATAATCACACACTTATGCTATTCTAATTCCTAACTTCTTTTGTATATCCTGATTTTACTGTGTCAAAACGTTATCAAAATATATTTATATCAAAATGTTTAGTTAGCAATCAGCATATTATTTGTAAATCAATAGTATGTTTCTTTTTCTAGTTTTGTTATCTCTTTTTCCTTAAATAAATAATTTACTTGGTACTTGTTTAATCTATATATATGTATGTATTTATATGTGTATGTGCATATATATATATATATATATATATATATATATATATATATATATATACAGAGGCGGCCCTAGGCATAGGTGGGGTAGGCGGGCCAGGCAACCTTAGGGGGCCCTGCACCTATACCACCTCTGCCGCACATACTAAGTAGCAAATGTGAAGTTAAATCCCCGTGCAGGGCTGCGGCAGCTAGGAAGCGCACTGCTGTGGCTGCCTAGGCAGTGGCGGATTAAGACTTCTTGGGGCTAGGGGCTATTTTTGTTTTTGGAGGCATATATATATATATATATATATATATATATATATATATATATATATATATATATATATATATATATATATATATATATATATATATATATATATATATATATATATAAAATGTTGAAAACTATTATTGATATAAAATAATACTGGTTTAAAAAACATTTTAAATAAAAAATATTTATAGAGGTTGCTACCGATCCTCTAAAATTAAATAGGTCCCTAAAATTATAACAAAAAAAGTTTTTTAAAAGTAAAGAAATCTTGTTGAACTTTTTTTTTCGTTTTTAGTAACTTTGATAATATTAGGGATAGATTTAATGTTCGAGAGTCCCTCAAAATATTTTTTATTGAAATTTTTTTTAAAATCCAGTATTATATTGTTATAAACACATTCAAGCACCCCAATATATATGCATATATATATATATATATATATATATATATATATATATATATATATATATATATATATATATATATATATATACATATATATATATATATACATATATATATATATATATATATGCATATATATATATATATGCATATATATATATATATATATATATATATATATATATATGCATATATATATATATATATATATATATATATATATACACAGGGGCGGCCCTAGGTTTTGCGGGGCCCTAGGCACAGTGTCGGATTAAGGAGGGGGCTATAGCATATATATATATATATATATATATATATATATATATATATATATATATATATATATATATATATATATATATATATTTGAGGGACTCTCGAACATTAAATCTATCCCTAATATTATCAAAGTTACTAAAAACGAAAAATAGGAAATTCAACAAGATTTTTTTACTTTTAAAAAACTTTTTTTGTTATAATTTTAGGGACCTATTTAATTTTAGAGGATCGGTAGCAACTTCTATAAATATTTTTTATTTAAAATGTTTTTTAAACCCACTATTATTTTATATCAATAATAGTTTTCAACATTTTTTTTTATGAAGTGGTAACGTTTATAAATAATTTTTAGCTAAAATATGCAAAAACCTGCGAAATGCGCCTTTTTGCATATTCTTTGCAAAACTGTTATTTGCCCGACAACGCGTGTGCAATAAATAAAATTTTTGTCAATTGTTTAATGTTTTTGTGACTGTTTGTCTGACTCATTTTTTAACAATAACTAGTAATTTAATAACATTAATTAGCAATTTAACTAAAAATATTTGAAGTTTGGTTCTTAAAAATAAGAAAAGCTAAACAAATATAAAACTAAAAATTTTTAGAAATATCTGCTTAATCAAAACATTAAAATCACCCCCAAAGAAAAATGCAACTTTTTTTAAAATTTCTGTGATGACAGTAAGCAGAATAAAAGGTAAACTTGATAAAAAAAATACCAGTACAAAGTGCCAGAAGTAGAAAATCTGGAAGACTACGTCACTACCCAAAGAGATGAACTGGCAATTTGTAACATTTCTATTAAAAACCAAAAAAAAAAAATGTATAAAAGTAGTTACTAAAAATCATACAAAAACCCGGTATCAAGAAGCCATACAAGTATTAAGATTTCTAACAGAACTACAAAGTGTCGAATAGCAGAACTGGGGTTTAAATGCTACAAACCTGCGAGGAGACCTAAAATTACGCCAGCGATGAAATTTAAACGTTTAACTTGGCTAAAAATCACCTACCTAAGTCTGCTAAAGATTGAAAAAGTGTAAACAAATATTTATGATTTGAAAATAAAACAAAGATTAAATTATTTTAAAAAAAATTTAAGTTAGTTAAGAAAAAATAAGTACTTGTTTTATTAATTATTGCAACAACATCACTATTTAAAACATTTATAAGAGTTTTTATATTATTATTTTTAATTGTTTGCAGGTGTGTTTTTCAGATGAGTCCTAATTTTAAATATTATTTAAATAATTCTTCTTTTGTTAAACAAAGGAAAAAAGAAAAAGGTAACCCAGACTGTGTCATGGAGACCTTTTAAAGGTGATGGTGGGTCAGTTATAAGTGGTAAGGGTATCGGCGTTCCTTATATAGTTGAAGGGATGGTGAACATGAATAAATATATATAGTTACCAAATTAATTCCTCAGTTACACGATTGCTTTCATGATTAATCTTAGTGCATCTTTATGTATGATTGTTTCCTATGCTTTAAAACTAAATTAGTAACAAGAAACTTAAAGTCAAAAAATAATACTTTTTTACCATGGCCAGGCGATTCTCCCGACTTAAACCCTTTTTACCCAGGCGAATTCTCCCAACTTGAAACCCAGGCGATTCTCCCAACTTAAACAACTTAAACTTTTAAAGCGTTTAATTGAGCACGAAACTATAACTAACTAATAAACTCTTATAGAAGCACTAAATAATGCCTGGCATCTTGATCAGGAATTAAAAGCAAATTTAAAGAATTGCATCAAAAGTATGCCAAGAAAGATACAAGCAGTAATTGATGCAAAAGGCGATGCAAAAGGCCCATCCGAATACTAAAAAACATTTTTTATTTTGAGTTTTCTTAAGTAGATCCCCATTTAAGCTGTTATTTAAAAAAACACCTTAGAAAGGTTTTTCTTATTTAAACATTTTTTTTTTCTTATGAAAAACTATAAATAAATTTAAAAAAATGTAACATTAATGATTGTATAAATAAAGACCCTACCACGGTACAAAGATAACTCCATATTGTATTGTCCGATTGCTATCAAATTTTCAAAGTAGCATTTATACATGGATGTTTACAAAATGTACCAAACTAGTGAAAAAAAAATTATTAAAAATTTTATGGTATATTTTAATTATCTACATGAAATTTATGATAGCTGCTGCCATTATCCTTGCATATTATAGCAATATTATGAAAGCTGCCATTGTCCTTGCATATTAATGCTAATTTTAATACATTTTATTGGCACTGGTGTATTGAACATATTGTGAAAATTTCAAGTCAATTGTCAATTGAACTGGTAGAACTTGGTAGAACTTGAAGTATGTTTGTCCCAAGTATGAAAATGTAGATTCAGAGAAAAACAATTGTTAAAAAATATGTATAAAAAATAAATATTTTTACATTTTACAAAAATTAAAAACTCCGAATAAATAGGGTTCTACTTGCTATTTCTCCTCTTTGTGAAAGAAACCTTTTCTTATAGCTCTATGTTTTTTTCCTTTTGCAAGTATAAGTGCACAAGATTTTTTTGAAGCACTAGTTATGCAACATGCAATTAAACACATTTGCTGCTTTATTCAAGTACTTTTCAATATAATTGCTAAATTTTAAAAATAAATTACCAATTCCAGTTCCCTCATTAAATTCTAAAACTCATTAAATTCCCTCATTAAATTCTAAAACTGCAGAAGCTACACCAATTTCAAGTATTGTTTTACTAACATATGTTAGTTTTAAGGTGGTTCCTATGTAATCAAAAAAAGTTACTTTCTATTCATTAACCATTAATTTTTTCAAAAGTAGGTACAGAATGTGTAAAAAAATATATATTTTCGAACTCCAAAAATATATAGATGATCACATAGGGGCCTATAATAGTCAAAATAACCCCTAAAAATAGAGTTTACTAGAAACACAATTACTTATGAGTAAAAGCTCATTTTACTTTCAAACTTGGTATACTTGTGCGTGTTACCTGTATCTAGTGCGTGAGTTTTTTTAATTAAAATTATTAAAAGATCCTGTTTTGAAGCATAACTAAAGGTTATGCTTCAAAACAACTGTATTTTTAAAAAATCTGCTACTAGGCCTCTGATCTTAGTTCCCTAACCACAACTTACAAATAATAAATTTATTTGAAAAAAACTCAGGCAATAGCAGTACACTTGATAAATAAGCCCTGAAAACTTCAAGTAGTTATCACTATTAATTCAAAAGTTATGATGTTTTTTGTGAGACAATTTTCTTGAAAAACGTTAAAGTAGAAAATCAAAAAACAAGAGGAAAAATTTGTTTTTAAAACTAAAATCCTCCTTTTAAATAAGTTTCTCCTCCCTCTTTATGTAAGTCTTTATCCAATAAACCCTTCTTGATGGCTTTTAGTTTTTTTCTTTTTGCTTTCGTCTTCTCTGATGTTTTGATAATAAAATTTTGGATGCTGCGTTGGCTCATTTTTTCGGATATAATATTAAAACGGACACCGGTCTGTATTCCAAGTTTTTCATACACTTTAACAAGTCCAAATGGACCTTCATTGAATTGAAGAATAACACTATATACACCTAACTGTAGAATTGATCTTTCTACAAAGATTTGCTTAGGACATTTCCTCCAAATAAGATTATTCAGAGACTCATTAGCATTTTGAGTTTGCCCGTGGATGCACTTGCGAAGAAGGTCATCATTTGAAAAATCTTGGAAAATCTTTGACAAGGTAGGAAACATCCACTCTGGTAAACTAATCCTCTCTTTGTGTTTTTTAAGTTTATTTTTCTTATAACTACACCACGATTCTTCTCCAGGTGGACAAAACATGTGGCGCTTATATAAGTTAGAAAAGTTGGTGCAATGATGAAGGATAGCACCTATCCACTTTTTCATTGTGTAAATTTTTTCATCATTAGAGCAATTTAATTTTAGACTTCTTCGAATGGCAATGCCATAATAATTTGTTATTGAATTAATGGAGTTGTTAGTCA